TAAATCAACCCAAGCATCTGGGGGTGTAGGCTGCAAAAATATCTGTTGTGTTTAAACTTCCAGCAATGGAGCAACTGGTGGGAAATTAGCTCTGACCTGAAACCCCCAAAGGTTTGTTGATCCTGTTGCGGCGTCCCGACTGGAAATCAAACCCCCATCTTACTTGTGTGGAGAAGACAGGAATTTTGTTTTTTTTCCATCAAAACCAGTCAGCAGCTCGCTGCCAGCTTTCATTTGTGTCTCACCAATCTTTTGCGTATGTGTGCGTACTTGTGTTGATTCACCAGACATAGGGAAAAGCTGAATCTCTGTGACCTTAACCACTTCCTTACATATGTCTCTGCTTTTGCCCACAGCATCTGGTTGCCCCTCAACAAATACATGAATAATCAACCTGGACTCTGTAGGACAGAAAACAAGCTTGGCAGTACATAACCACATGTTTCAACACAGTGGTCCCTTCTGTTTATTCAAGGGTACTTTAAGGTGCTGAGGAATGACATTAGAGAATTGGATGAATTCAAGCATGAAACAGCAGATGGCTGAATTCAAGGAAGTTTTCCATTTTTATGCATACAAACATAGAACCAGAGAGACATATGGGCACCATATGTGAGACTAAAAGATTGGTTCAAATGTACTGTTGGCCACATTTTATATTATGTGTGTTTGGTTCATACTAATAAATGCAGATGATGCTCTGTGGAATGCAGCTTTGTGAGCAATGATGTATTGAGAATTCACCAGCTGGATGGTTGAAACTTAAATAAGTTTCAAAATAACCAAAATAAGTAAATAAAGACGGTTTAGGCAACAGACATACAACAAGTCTCTGGAAGTATTTCTATAAAGGGCCATTTGATTTCATGGCTTACTGAGTGGAGCAAGCTGTATTTTTTAAATGGTAAAGCTATATGTCTTTTTCGTTTTTTTTTGTTTATTTTTATTTTTATGACAAACTTGTTTCTGTTAAGCTCTCGTTCTTGTTGCCAGTTTACAGATGCACATGTAAACAACAAAATTAAACTTGTGGTTTCAATAAGTGTGTTCAAAAGGCACCCAAATTAGGATGGGATTGTTCCACCATCTGGTTGTATAGTTTCTGTATTACTTTCTATCAAAAGAGGAACCAAAAGATGTTTGAAGAAAAATCTGCCTTTAAAGCAACCACAGAAAGTTTCTTGTTCCTTTGAGGGAACAAGACTTCCTTTCTTTTTTTTTTGGCCCAGCTACTCCACGGTGCGTATCTGTCGCTTCCACATCCAGTGAAACCGAGGGGTAAGAAAAACTAATATGACTATAACAATCTAAGTAAATGACTAACAAAGTATTTCCGTATTTCAATTTTGGAGGACTAATAAATTCATCCAGATTCCTAGAATGTTTCTTCCAGGATGTTTACCAATTACCAGTTATAGCCCACATAATTTTCTTCACCACCTAGAGAATCACTGCCCCAACCTCTCATAATCTGGGCCAGGTCAGTTAAGGGGATTCAGAACAATTAGATCCAAAACACTTCAGTAATTTTTCTGCAGCTGTTTAAAGAAAAGTTGAAAAAAAAAGTTTTATTTTGTGAGCACATAAATTGCATATTTCGAATTATTTATTTTAATCTGATCTTTAAATTTTGTGGAAGTCAATATAGCATATCATTTTAAAACCTTTGACAGCTGTAGTAAGTACCAAGTGCTTTGAAGATTCTGTTTTCAAATATATTTATTTTGAAACATTTCTTTCATCAAGGCACTTGATCTGACATTTACATGTTTCTTTTTAAGAAAAAGTCTGACATATAAACAGCAAAAAGGCATAGTGACATTTATAATAAAAAATAAGGATAGTAAAAACATAATAAACAATAACATTAACACAGTAATGATAGTACCGAAAATAAAAAACAACAAAACAGTATCCCGCTGTAAAGAAATTAAGTATCAAATAGAAGAGCTACAAGACCCCCCCATCCTATCCCACCCTACCCTCCATCAGGAGTGCTATGCTGTGGTCACATTAATCAGTTATTGAATGAAGGTAAGGGACCAATGGCTCCCAAATTTTTTCTAACTCCCTCAGTTTTTCTTTTAGAACGCATCTGATTCTTTCCAGGTGAAGGGTGTCGGTCAAGTCTGATAGCCAGTGCTTAATGAGGGCACTTCTTTTTCCTTCCAATGTAAAAAGATCAGTTTCTTGGCAGTTGTAACACCATATGACAGGAGACGCCGTTGTGCTACAGGAAGCTTTAAGAGCTCATCAGATATTCCCAGAATGATCAGAAGAGGATCTGGGATTATCTGGACTTCCCGAATCCTAGACAGGAAATTAAATATGTCACCCCAATATTTTTGCAGTTCATGACATAACTGTGTGATAACGTAGCCTCTGCGCATTCACATTTCTCGCACAATGGTGATATGTCTGGGAATATTTTATGCAACTTGACCTTGGAGTAATGTAGCCTATGTCAAATTTTAAATTGTATCAAACAGTGTCGGGTGTTAATGGAACAGTCATGTATGTGTTCAATCATTCTTCCCATACAAACTGAGGTATTTAGGTTCCAACTTCCGTTTCCCATTTGTCTTTTAGGGCATTCGTTTTGGGTGAACCCATGCTCAGCAAAGTGTCATACAGTTCAAAGGCTTTGAAGATCCTTGGAAAAACAGTTTGCTTGAAATGTTCATTGATCCTAAGTAAAAAAATAAAAATCATATTACAAAAAAAAAATAATAACACAGAAAAGCCATCCAGGTATCGATGGAGTTTAGAAACAAATGTGCTGTGTTTAAGCTTCTTTGGGAAATTTGAATGCATTAAACTGTTAAGAAGAAGTGAGTCATAAAATTCAAAGTGCTTCTCTGTAATTAAAGGGGAGAGAACCTGCCTGTGCTCAACGGGAATGCGTTATGCTTTAAGCTTAAGTGTATAATCATATGTTTCAGTAACAAAATACCCCGCCACTTAAATAATTCCCAGTCTGGTGCTGATAAACAACTCTCCTCATACATGAGGAACAGAGTGCAGTACCTGTTAATTCATCTCCATTTAGAAAGCTTAACAGGCTGATTTCCATCCTTTTGAAATGACAGAGTTTGCAGATGTCCACCAATTCAAACAGTACTTCAGGCTAATATGTCAGTGCAACTTCTTTATTTTGTGGCCATAGCTCTGCTTCCATATTTTAAGGAGACAAATAAAGAGATGAGGATGTGTACAAAGCTAGATCTATTTAAAAACCTTTTCTTTTAGTCAGCCTATAATGTGGCGAGTCATGCCTATGACCCATTACAATAACATTACCAGTTTCTGTTTCCACAAACAGGTGAATTCTGATTTGCACAAGTCTCTCCTCCTTGATGAGCATGTAACCGCAATGGACAGTCATTTGCATTGTGTTGTTGACTCTAGGCAACTGTTTTGCCTAAAGTTCCACTTAGTTGTTCAACAGCCATCAATTCTGGAGACCTGTCAGCACCTGACAAATCAGCAATCGCGATTTTTCCCAAGGTGAAACGCCCCTTACCTGCAGGAACAGCAGTCTCTCTCTCTCTCTCTCTCTCTCTCTCTCTCTCTCTCTCTCTCTCTCCTTCCCTCCCTCACTATCTTTAACAACATTTCCTTGTTGTCAAAGTGATTACTGGGAGGAACACAGTTATTTCTATTTCAAAACAGGAAAAGTTGTCTCAAAAGAATTTAAAATATGGACAATGGCCTGCTGCCAACATCGAGCAGCTGAACACAGCAGAAGCTACCAGTGGCAAACACATTTTCCCTTTTTGGTCATAATTACATTGTTTGCTTGTGTATAACCTGAAATAAATGCTTTGGTCACATAATTACTGTAATAAACTGCATTTAAGGCAATGTGCTAGCACAGGGCACAAATATTCTTACACTGCCTGATTAAAAACATGAGAAACATGCCTCAAATGTTCACCTCCTTGTTAAAGCAACACTGCTCAATTTTTAGATTCTAGTCATCCCAAGTGCATATACTTACCTGAAAATGTGTTTTATATCTAAATATATATCTAGATATATACGTACATTTATCGATAAGTATATATATCGATAAGTATATATATATATATATATATATATTAGGGGTGGAACGGTTCACAAAATCCACGGTTCGGTTCGATTCACGGCTTCTGGTCACGGTTTTCGGTTCGGTTCGATACATGTTAATTGTTACACCGAAATCCCATAAAAATGTATGGAATTAATAAAAAAATCCCCCCAAAAATAATGGATTGTAATTATTTTAAANCGAACCGAACCGAGACAGTCGAACCGAACGGTTCTGACGGTTTTCATAAATCGTCCCATCACTAATATATATATATGTATATATATATTGGAGAGAACAGATATTTGTGTTCCAGTGTAGGAAGTATAACAAGACGAAAACAAATATTTTAAAATAAAGACTGCTAATAGCACAGAGGGGCATAGGATGATAAAATAGCCAATCCCACAGAAAAAAACTGCATAGTGTGAGCTCTAAAAATCAGGACGAAAACTGATGTGTAGAGAGAAAAGCATCCAAACAGGGTTTTACTTCCCTAGTAAAACACAAATGATTATTCAAATACTGAAAATCTAAACTGAAACCAAAGCTAAATGGAGAAATGGAGAAACTAATTTAAAAACTGGACCTTAAAAGGAAAACAGATTTCTAAGTAAATGTATCCATAGATCTCTCTGCTTCCGGCAATATGTTTTCTATAAATGTCAGTTTTTTTAGTTGACAAGCATCTCACAGGATGGGAGGTAATACAAATCTTTCAACTGAAAGAACTGAAACTATTTTCGAAACTATTTTTCTAACACATGCAGATGTGTTTGTTTTTTTGTTTTTAAGCGTATGGTTCACTTTAGATGAGGTACCTCTAGGGAAATGCAACATATGGCTGGTGTTTGAGTTGATAAAGTAGCTGGCAAAGAGGAGATAAGAACTAATATACCTGACATAAGGACAACAAGGAGGTATTACAGACGTGGCAAAACAGAGGGAGACATGAGGCTTTTTCTTTTCCTGATTCTTTGTGGAGTGACAGGTACATTTCAAAATCATCTATATCAGGGATAAAAGTGGTTCCAAAGATTTGTATTATTATTTTCTCCAGTAAACATCATGTCTATATCATAAAACAAATGTAATCACTGTGTGGTCTTCAGTTGGCCTGGAGAATGACGAGAAGATTGTTGGAGGGTATGAGTGCCAAAGAAACTCTGTGCCGTATCAAGTATCACTTTTCACTGGGTACAACTACTGCGGAGGGATTCTCCTGTCTGATGAGTGGGTGCTCTCGGCTGCACACTGTAAACCAAGGTAGGAATCATCGTTATTCATATCTGTTTTACAAGCCCATGTACATTTACTCTCTTTAGACATTTTTCAAATCATGACCACTGACTTTTTTCTTCTTTATGAGATGACCAATGCTCAATTTTTACATTTTTCTAATAAATATTTTAAAAGGTGCTTTGCATTAACATTCATTCATTCAGAGTCAATACTTTGTTCAGCCATTTTTAGCTGCAGTTACAGTAATACCGTAATATGAGGGTGCCATACTAAACTACCCTATTGTTTATCTGGCTCCATGTTTAGATTAATTGTCATTCTGGAAATTTAACATCCCCTCGAATCTCATGTCCCACACAGCCTCCTTGTATTTAGCTCCAACTTTAATTTAATCAGATTTATTGAGCTTCAATGCCCTGTTAAATAAAAGCATTCCCACAATGCTTTAAACAGAATATTGGCTGCTTTCTCCGAAGTATGTCTACCATGACAGCCTTATAAGGTCGATGGCCATGTATTAACAGGATGCATTTGTTCTAGTTCCTGATTTTTGAATCAGGGATTAAACAGTATACCATGTGATTTTCAATTTTTGGGATTTATAACCTAGCCCTGGTTTATGGTACTGAAAAGTTGAATAACTGACCTGTCTAGTGTGCTACTCTGTCTTCATTAGGCGGGTTTTTTATTTCAAACAAACATCCTTAACAGAAAAGCTGGGTTGATACTGATATTCTGTTACACACAAATTACACTTTTCATATTCATATTTCTATGGTTATTTTTCAAGTTTCAGTAAACTAGCCTTTCTTAATAGAATTTTTTTTTTTTGTATCAATTCAGGTTAAATTAAATAAACATTTATTTCCTAATTGACATTTCAAATCTAAATTGTTTCTTTATGATTTTGTAAAAAGTTTTTATTGAATATAAATAATGGGTTGACTAAAACTATCATTATTTTTTTTCTTCAGTTCTAATCTAGAGGTTAGGCTGGGAGAGCATGACATCTGGGAACCTGAACATACAGAACAGCACATCATGTCCGCCAAGTTCATTCGCCACCCTGATTATAATTCCCGCACGCAGGACAGTGACATCATGCTGATTAAGCTGAGTCAGCCTGCTATTCTGAACAACTATGTTCGCCCTGCTGTGCTTCCATCAAAGTGTGGCAGTGCTGGGATAATGTGCCAGATATCAGGATGGGGGAATATTCGCCCCAGTGACGAAGGCTGTGAGTAGCTACACTACACTCTCTAATAAATCAGAGGTGATGAAAGAAATCAAGGATGGAATTATAGCTTACCTTAATGTCCTTGCAGCAAGGTATCCAGATAAGCTGCAGTGTCTGGAAGTCCCACTGTTAAGTGATGACACCTGCTACAACGCATATCCATTTCAGATCACTGAAAACATGATATGCGCTGGATACCTTGAAGGAGGGAAGGATTCCTGCCAGGTAATACCATCATAATAGGTGCATTTATCAAGTGATTTTCTAGTTGAAGTATGTGCAACTAACATCCTATAATCTCTAACTTCAGGGGGACTCTGGTGGTCCCATGGTGTGTCAGGGGGAGCTCCAGGGAGTTGTTTCCTGGGGTCATGGTTGTGCTCAGAGAAACAAGCCTGGAGTGTACACAAAGGTTTGCAATTATGTTTCCTGGATCAAGACAACAATGGCATCTGGCTGAGGTGTAAAGTTTAAGACTTCATATGTACTCAGGAAAAAAGAGTAAATAAAAATCAGTATGACTTATTTGTGTAATGTGTGTTTTTTTTGGATTAAGTAGTTTACATAAAAAAAAAAACTCTTAAGTTGTATCACATCAGCTTTAACAGGAAGATATAAGAGCAGATCTTTAATTTGAATACTTCACATTTCAAAGTGTGACAAACCTTCATCCACATTACTGGGCTAACGTTGGGTCTTTATTAGTAAAAATACATAAGCATAACTTTGTGGGCAGCGAGAACTATTTAGAAAACCGCATAAGGTGATATCGAATGGACCAGAGGTATCAGAGTTTTTACTTAAAGGTGTCAGGGTTTGGTTGAGGTTTTTGGACCTAAATGCAGAGGCAGGGAGGCAGAGGTGAGTTTCTTGATTGTTTAATGATGAGTAAACAAACAACTGAACACGGAGGCAGGAAATCCAAAAATCAAAACATGAAAACAAAGTCAAACAAACCAGAAACCATGGAGACATCAGGGGGGGGAAACTTTCATGAGGAGGAAGACTCAGAGAGACGGAGTTGGAGTAAGTTAGACGAGGAACCAGCACTGCAAACTGAACAGAGAATGTATCAATGGGAGACTGAAACAAAGAGAGGACTAACGAGCAGATTGGGAGCAGGTGCAAAACAGAACAGAACATGAAAGGAGCTAAGGAAAAAGGAGAACACAAGAGGGCAGCAGAGGGCAACAAATAAAAACCTGAAAAGTGAAAATAACTAGAAAAACAAAAAAATAAGAATTAAACCACTAAAACTAGAAAGCAAATACTCAAAAGAAAACATAACAGAACCAAGACTGTGACAGAAGGTATAATGGAGGTTCTTTTTCTGGGTGGATCATCAAAATAAGTGGTCCTCCTAATTGTCAATTATTCTCATAATATGCTTATTTAAGGTCGTCCTATGTGCTCGTTCCCATTTTAACTTACTGGTGGTGAGTCTGACATAGTGGAAAATTTGCAAATCTTTTGGAAAGCTTATATGAGCGAGGCAAACAGCAACTTTTAAACAGAGCGTGCACAAGGAGGAATGGGCTCGTGCATGCTCTTGCACGCGTTTAATAGGCGTTCTCTCTCGGGAGTTGGTACAGGTTTGTGCATGTACATTTATATTTATTATGCTGAGCTATGGTGAGGGGAACTGTGGGGATCACAGCTGTATACTCAGGAGTGGTTAGTGGAGCCTTGAGGAATGGCGCTGTGGTAATTGTAACCTTGGACTCAGGAGTGCTGTATGGAGCAATGGTGATTGAAGCCATAGTGACAGATGCCATGGACTTAGCACTGGTTCCTTGAGCCATAGTGAGTAGACCTGTTGATAGTAAGAAAATAGTTATTCTCTATTCCTGGGAGTCTCCTTGAAGTGGCACTTTAGATAATCCATGTTTATTTTCTTGCCTTCAAACCAAGGCTATAGTGGCATTATGCTATAATAGGAATCAGAACAGTTTAGTTATTCCTATTATAGCATAAGGCCCCAGGTACTTGGGGTCCAATGTTCCTTTTGTATTTGTCGTCTTCTATTATTCGATCGCCATGCCTTTAAAGTTAGTGTGGTTTCACCTTTGTTTTTGTGCTTTTTCTTCTTTATACCATGTTTGGAAGATAACATCGCCATTTCAGTTTCTGTATAATCCTCTAGAGACAAATCGTCCGCCACACTCTTGTTAACCTTTGAAAAAATGTCATTTAAACTTAGTTTAAGTTTAGCGGAAAACTATTAGTATTTTAGAAGTAATGATTACTATTCAAAAGCAACTGAGATTTATGGTTTGAAAGATGAAGTATAGCTTAGAGGAAGCCAGTGAGGGTTCAGATAAACACTTAAAAGTATGAGTAAAAGTGATGGACATGTGGGGCAAATACACGTTAAAGATACAGACCTTACATGCTAAGCACATGGGAGGAGGTTTGGATTGTCACAGTAAAAGTTGATGACAATCCTATGATGTAAAAGAAAGGTGTGAAGGCCCAGGATGAGAGAACATAGATGAATCGATTGGAAATCATTCAGTGTTCTATGGGAGGTTGGGTAATACTTTGTGAACCTTATTTAAGACTGGTGAAGCTTGTGAAGACCTTATTTAAGACTGCTGAATCCATCGATGAAAACACAGTTGTAAAGTGTTTAAATCTATGGAATAAAGGTTAGACCAGATCTAGCATATATAGTGATGTAAAAGTCTAGAAATGCATAAGAAAGTTAAACTAGTGGAGAGCTAAAAGGGTTTTTACCCCTTAATCATTTTCACATTTTGCCAGACCGAAAAAACCCAAAAACTTATTCATTTGGGGTTTATTACAATAAATGTCAGTTGTTAAAATACTCATACCTAGGCTAGCAAATAAGCTATGAAGAGGAAGGATGATAATATGATTTTGTTTCCCTTTTTTTTTAACCAAAACACATTTCAAAGCTGTGGGATGCATACCGGTATGTATATTGTCAATATTACTATTCCATCCATTAGTTGGGTTGATGCCTATCTGTAAGAATCTATGTGCAAAAGGTGGGGTACACCCTGTACAGGTCGTCAGTCTATCACAGATTTCACTGTTCTATCCTCATCTAAATAATTTACAGTGTGTCTAGTTGAATTTAAAATCAATTTATATGTTGAGAGATTCTACATGTGTTTAATCTAATCCTAGCATTAATATAACTGCAGACCACAAAGCTTTGTCAGAGAACATAAACGTATAAACCTGGATCTTGCTATAAAACGAGCACTTTTAAGATCTTGCAACACATGGTTTAATCAATCAAGAATTGTAAAGAACTCTGAACCTACTAGGACGCAGTCCTTCAACTGCACTGACATTCTGAAAAAAAAATCTGGAAGTGCTGCAGACATCATACACCTCAGGAGAATCTGTGGTCAGGACAACTGTTGCCTAAAATGCAACAGTTGTCCTGCCACAGATTGTGGCAACAGTTGCCACAATCTGTGGCTGAGTATGAACAGCATAAAACGCCCAACATAAAACATGTTAAAATCTCTTTAACAATATTGGGAAAATTAGTCATAAATTTGGACATGTGTACAAAAGGCGGATTTTCCAAGTCTCTCTAGAATGATAAAAATCATATTCTGACTACTGAGTAGAAGAGGAGTGTCTCTTTGTTTTTAACATCAAGCAAACTGTTTTAGATTATTTTTTAGTCATGAGTTGTTTTAGTTAGTTAGATCTTTCTGCAAGTTTATTGTCAGATGTGCAGAGTAGGTATGAGAGAATGTTACACATCAACAGATCAACTCTTCAAGAGTAGCCACCATGCACAACATGTGCAGCATTCAAATTAACAATGATCTAAAGTGATGCATATTAAGTTAGGAATGCTTATCATGAGATATGCACAGGGATCTGGCTTGATTACCAGAATATAAAAAAGAAAACAAGAAGACATCTGTCTGACATACAATGACACGTCAAAGACGGAAAAGAAGTGGAGGAAATTAAATTGAAGAAATTTTAATTTCTCTTCTGAAGAGAAGTCACTCCTGTTTTTTTTTGTTTTTTTTTTTTACAGTTTTCTTTAGCATCAGTGGTCATTGTTTATTGAGAGCAAGACAAGAGTAAGGGTATAAAAGGAGAGTAAAAGGCCTCATTTAGGAAATGAACCCAGGACTCAACCATTAGGACTGAATCATCTGCACAATAACTGCTCTACAATGGAGTCACCTGGTGCTCTATTACTCCTGTCAAAATCATGCTTTATATAAAAAAACAAAACCACATTACATTTTTTTTTTTTTTGGACAGTCACCCTTTGCAGTCATTATGAAAACAAAATTATTAAAATCTTTTACAGATAGCAGTCAAACATACAGTGTTATTTTTGAGCATGTGAAAAAACCAGTCATAGGAATCCAAATGAAAGAATTTAAGTGGTTAGTAAGGAAGTGTGCAGTTCCCACTCTACCCTACAGAGAAATAAATGAATAATAACTTGCCACCCCCATGGAAAACAGGTCAGAGATATCATCATGCTGTGAGGGTACCGATATGTGGAAACAGGTAAAAGTTGATATGAAGATGGGTGAAACAATATTCAAATATTAGAATAAAAACCCAGTGGAGTCTAAAAACTCCTTACTAACTTTGATCTATTTTGGAACCAGAATAGGGAAATTGCTCTATTATATAGTACTTGCTTCTCTAATTGAAGAAAGAGGTTAACCCAAGTATTCTGTCAAAGGCAGCTGAATACAAATACATGTCCTTTTTTTTTTGTTTTTTAAGACTTGTTTTGTTAAAAGAAGCTTTTAAAAGATATTTATGGTGTAAAGCAAGCATTTACCGTTATACATAAAATTGTATTTTATACAGCAAACTTATTGATATATATAGTCTTACAGACACATCAAAGAAGATGATTTTTGATTTTAACACCAAAAGAAAACAACGAAACAAAATACAACAAACTTTTCCCTTTTCCCCCACCCTCCTTTCTTGTATGGTTCTCAATATCCTTTCATTTCTGTCCACAACACATCCATCTGAGCACATTCATATCTGTATAATTCAACACACTACTTCTATCAAGGTACATAAATGCTGAAGTTATAGAAGAAGAAACTGCAAAGTGCTAATTTGAAGCCGGTCCAGAAAGGGTCACTCCACCATCGACAGCTGGGTCCAGAGAGGGCAGAATGTGTAAGAAGGGGCCCCAGGTTTTTTTCAAAGATTGCATCTTTTCCTTTAACATTATATAGTGTATTTTCGGGTGTGCAGTAAGACACAAGCTCATTGATCCAGTGTTTAACTGACGGTGAATTTTCGGATTTCCAGTTGACCAGGATACATTTCTTCACTGCATTGCTTGCAAGTAATACAAAGTACTTCTTGTAATTTACATTAATGGGGTCTGCATCCCCGAGAATCCAAAGTTTTGGGTCTTGTTCAATTTGAAATTATAAAATGACACATTTCCAAAATTATTTCATCACTGGGCAACTCCATAGCATGTTTATAAGGTTCCCC